CCCCCCCCCCCCCCAGAAGAGGTTTGCTACCTCTTCTGTCCCCTTCAGCTTACCTGTTTGATACCCAGCCAATCGGCCAGGTCCCTGGCGTTGGCCAGTGCTGTTGACAGGCCTACGACTCGTACAGGCTTGGAGGTATGTGATGAGATAAAGTTAGTACGCGAGACTATCACTTCTAGCACCGGCCCTCTCTCATCCCCTGAAAATCATAGCACAACCATCACACTGATAATCAGTTCAAACCCTTCCTTATAATATGAATTTTATTTATGAAAGCAAAAAAAGAAAGAAAACAGTATTACATTTTGTCTCAAATGCTTTGAATCTTATTCCACAGAAATTTAACAGAACATTCCAGGCTGAGCCAGGCAAACTTTTCAAGAAGACTGACGAAAACTTTCAGCAAGCAACAAATACAAAAACACACATCGAAGTATGCAAGAAATATTCTATTGAAACTTGGTTGTAGAATAAATTCACTATAACAATAAGTGAGGACTTACCCAGCAGGTGGATCTCATCAATGATCAGTACAGCGACAGCTTTCACATAGTTTCTGGTCTGCCAGCTCCGACTGACCCCATCCCACTTCTCAGGCGTGGTCACAATAAGGTCAGCATTAGCCACCGCCCTCATATCTGGGGTCACATCACCGGTCAGCTCCACCACCCTGTAGGGGTCCGAGGTGAATCATAAGTAAAATGTATCACCTAACAACTCATGTCTGAAGTCACTTTCACCAACCTTTAGGAGATGGGAATCAGTTACAAAGATACAGTGTAATGCATCACTGAAGAAGTTGAAACAACTCCTGCCTGGAAATAGCAGTCCACTCCATCACCCTTACGGTGATAAAAGTCAGGAGATAGGAGTCAAAATACCTACAAATAACTCATGTCCATCTTTGTGTATCAATGGCAAAGATTCAGAACCGATACAAAGTCCATGACAGAAACCATCAATTAATAGTATGCTAATATGATTCTATTAATGTTCCACATAAATAATCTAACCTACAGCATAGTGTCTATACAGTTTGTTTTTTAAGGAGTTAAGGACTAGCTTGTTTGACATAAGGTGTTGCCCAGTACTTACTTTTTGCCAAGCTTCTGTTGAATGCGGACTTTCCAGTCCTCCATTCTCTCTCGCACCAACGCTTTCAGTGGTGCAATGTACACTGCCTGTCATGATAAATATTCATTATATTATAAATAATCAGTCTTTTCTCTGCAACTATGGTGTCAGGACAACATGAAAGAAGCAAAGAATGGTTCCTTCATGAGAAATCTTGGTCAGAAGTCAAAATCACAAAACATCCCCGACGACTCAAAAAGGTACATCGGTTGGCAACCTGTTCATAATACATTCCAAATCAGGAGTTTCAAAGAGAATATAACATGGTTCTTAGTTCAAACTTGTATTCAGAGAACAAACTCAGGAACTTTACAAAGTAGTACACTATTACAAGTGGTCTCTTACTACAGGTTCTGTAACAATGAAATAATAGCAATTGGGAGTTTTAAAAGTGGTATCTACAAAAATAATATATTAAGACCACTTGTAATAACAAGTGGTCTCTTAAAAGTGGTGATATCTTGAGCACATTGAAATTTTAACACGAAAGAGGTTCATATTGCAATAGCCCTGTAGTTGTACAAACAGGATTATAATATCATATGTTACCCAGCAGTCATCAATACATTACCGTCAACTGGAAATAGCATTCTGACAATGACCAAGACATGATATTTTACACTTTTGAATCTATTATATTTACATAATGAAGTTCATATTACACATTTGGGTTTTCCCAGAAAATTCTCTGAAGATGTCTTTATAAGTTTACATGTACCTTTGCTTTTGGGTATTCCTTGAACACCCTGAATATGGCCATTTCTGCAGCGACTGTTTTACCAGAGCCAGTAGGCGCCCCGAGGAGGACATTACAGTCGGTGTGGTACAGAACATGGAAGATTTGGGTCTGGATTGGGTTGAAGTGTGTGTACTTGTACAGCGCCTCTATTTGGGGGTCGTTGTAGGCTGTGATTGGCAGGGGCTGTAGATCCAGTAACTCTGCATAGGCATACGAATCTATACTAAGTACAAATCAGTTATCAAACTCGTAAAGCCCACCTAGTGAGCTAAAACACGTAAACCTTGGTTTATAGTTGCTGATACACCCTGTTTAACCTTGGTTTATAGTTGCTGTTCCACCCTGTTTAACCTTGGTTTATATTTGCTGATACACCCTGTTTAACCTTGGTTTATAGTTGCCGATACACCCTGTTTAACATTGGTTTATAGTTGCTGATACATACTGTTTAACCTCGGTTTGTAGTTGCTGATACATACTGTTTAATCTTGGGGATATAGTTGCTGATACACCCTGTTTTACCTTGGTTTATAGTTGCTGATACATACTGTTTTACCATGGTTTATAGTTGCTGATACACCCTGTTTAACCTTGGTTTATAGTTGCTGATACACCCTGTTTAACCCTTGGTTTATAGTTGCTGATACACCCTGTTTAACCTTGGTTTATAGTGGCTGATACACCTTGTTTACCTTGGTTTATAGTGGCTGATACACCCTGTTTAACCTTGGTTTATAGTTGCTGATACACCCTGTTTAACCTTGGTTTATAGTGGCTGATACACCTTGTTTACCTTGGTTTATAGTGGCTGATACACCCTGTTTTACCTTGGTTTATAGTTGCTGATACATCCTGTTTAACCTTGGTTTATAGTTGCTGATACACCCTGTTTAACCTTGGTTTATAGTTGCTGATACACCCTGTTTTACCTTGGTTTATAGTTGCTGATACACCCTATTTTCATGGTTATTTCTTCTATTGAATTAATTCTTTTAGCAAACTGAACAATTCTGCATTTTGGATTCATACAAAATGAAGACCGTTGTTAATGTGCTCTTTTTTAGCACTGAGATTGGTTGCTCAAAGCAAGGCAATATGCTTTTTCTAAGCACTGGGTTTGGTTGCTTAAAGCATTGCAAGATGACAATACAGTTATCAACAAGAGGCCCAGTTACATGAAACTGACATATAGGTAACTTCAAACAAAATTTGGTAACTAGAACACAAGACATTTTAACTCTCTTAAACGCTTCTTAAGATATTGTTGTTTGAAATTTGAGTGAGAAATTGTAATTTTAAAGCTTTTAACCCACGTTGACATTTGACCCCTGACTAGCACTTAAAGTTGACCTTTGACCTCATTACTTAAAACAGAAAAATATTTGCACTGCTGGTCTTCATAACATTACTAAGTATCATGACTCTAGTCCAAATGGTTCTTAAGATATTGTTGTTTGATTTTTTGAACATATTTGACCCCTGTGACCTTAAAAGTAGGCCAAGGTCATTTTAATGAGGAAACTTAATAGCACTTCATCCAAGGTACCAACTGGCCAAATATCATGACCCTGGTCCTTATGGAACTTGATAAGAAGATTGTTAAAGCTTTTAACCCATGTTAACGTTTGACCCCCTAATATCACTTAAAGTTGACCTTTGACCTCATTACTGTAATAAAGAAAAATATTTGCACTGCTGGTCTTCATAACATTACTAAGTATCATGACTCTAGTCCAAATGGTTCTTAAGATATTGTTGTTTGATTTTCTGAACATATTTGACCCCTGTGACCTTAAAAGTAGGTCAAGGTCATTTTAATGAGGAAACTTTATAGCACTCCATCTCAGGTACCTACTGGCCAAATATCATGACCCTAGGTCCTCCAGTTCTTCAGAAGAAGTTGTTTAAAAGGAAAAGTTGACGGCCGGACGCCGGACGACAGACGCCGCAGTACGGCATAAGCTCACATGGCTCTTAGGGCCAGGTGTGCTAAAAATTGAGTAGTTTTCAAATCTTAACAACACATCTGTTTTCCTTAAATAAAATATCACTTTTTCTTTCAGTCCCTAAACTGCTTAAGAGTAAGGACACTTAAGAAATCTGAATTGATCTGATCTAGACATAATCTTGATCAATCACCTAGATTTGAGCTTTAAACATTTACAAGACATGATGAAGTCAATAGATGCATCTTCAGACAAACTGTTATTTCCTTTTTAACCTTCACAGCGAGTCAATAAAATGATGACTGCAGTCATTACCTCTCTTATCCCCATCAATCACTAGCACTAGCCCCTGAAAACTGCTGTGGTCTTTGACTTGTAATTTAACGCCATCAGACAGGAGTGTCACATATCAACCACAAGGTGTTAGGTGCGGGAAGCACTTTATCAGACTTTCAATCAATATGATGTAATGTTAAAAAAAATGACAACTAAGCAATCTTAACGACCACATATTTCTAAATATAACATCTTTCATCCCTTTTTAGTATCGAAAGACTGATACATGCATATCTTATCAGACTTATGAGTCATAATGTTCAAATAAATGAGGAAGTATAGTTGTAAGTTTGTTAGGTGTAAGTATACTAGATGTAAGTATGTGTAAGAAAAGGTGCAAATGTATGTGTAAGCATAAGTGTAAATGTAGGTGTTAGTGTAGGTGTGAGTGCTGGTGTAAGTATAGGTATGAGTGTAGGTGTGAGTGTAGGTGTAAATGAAGGTGTGAGAGTAGGTATGAGTGTAGGTGTGAGTGTAGGTGTAAATGTAGGTGTAAATGAAGGTGTGAGCGTAGGTGTAAATGTAAGTGTGAGTGTAGGTGTAAATGTAGGTGTTAGTGTGGGTGTCAGTGTAGGTGTGAGTGCTGGTGGAAGTATAGGTATAAGTGTAAATGTAGGTATGAGTGTAGGTGTGAGTGTAGGTGGAAATGTAGGTATGAGTGTAGGTGGAAATGTAGGTGTGAGTGTATATGTGAGTGTAGGTATGAGTGTAGGTGTGAGTGTATATATGAGTGTAGGTATGAGTGTAGGTGGAAATATAGGTATGAGTGTAGGTGTAAATGTAGGTATGAGTGTAGGTGTGAGTGAATATGTGAGTGTAGGTATGAGTGTAGGTGTGAGTGTATATATGAGTGTAGGTATGAGTGTAGGTGTTAGTGTAGGTGTAAATGCAGGTGTGATTGTAGGTGTAAATGTAGGTGTGAGTGCTGGTGTAAGTATAGGTATGAGTATAGGTGTGAGTGTAGGTGTAAATGTAGGTGTGAGTGCTGGTGTAAGTATAGGTATGAGTGTAGGTGTGAGTGTAGGTGTAAATGAAGGTGTGAATGTAGGTGTAAATGTAGGTGTAAATGTAGGTATGAGTGTAGGTATGAGTGTAGGTGTAAATGTAGGTGTAAATGTAGGTGTGAGTGTAGGTATGAGTGTAGGTATGAGTGTAGGTGTGAGTGTAGATATGAGTGTAGGTATGAGTGTAGGTGTGAGTGTAGGTGTGAGTGTAGATATGAGTGTAGGTGTGAGTGTAGGTGTAAATGTAGGTGTGAATGTAGGTATGAGTGTAGGTGTAAATGTAGGTGTAAATGTAGGTATGAGTGTAGGTGTAAATGTAGGTGTGAGTGTAGGTATGAGTGTAGGTGTAAATGTAGGTGTAAATGAAGGTGTGAGTGTAGGTGTGAGTGTAGGTGTAAATGTAGGTGTTAGTGTGGGTGTCAGTGTAGGTGTAAGTAATGGCATAAGTGTGGGTGTAAGTGTAGGTTGAAGTTAAGGTATAAATATAGTTGTAAGTATAGGTGAAGATATAGGTGTAAGTATATGTGTAAATGTATGTGTAGGTATAGGTGTTCATGTAGATGTAAGTTTAGGTATAAATGTTGGTGTAAGTATAGGTGAGATGTATGTGTAAGTGTAGATATAAATATATGTGTGAGTATAGGTGTTATAGTGGGTAAGTTTAAGTGTAAATGTATCTGTGAGTGTTGGTGTAAATGTATGTGTAAGTATAGGTGTAAATGTGGGAGTAAGTATAGATGTAAATGTATGCTTAAGTATAGTTGAAAATGTATGTGTAAGTGTTGCAGATATAAATGTATGTGTGAGTATAGGTGTTAGTGTGGGTAAGTTTAAGTGTAAATGTATGTGTGAGTGTAGGTGTAAATGCATGTGTAAGTATAGGTGAAAATGTATGTGTAAGTATAGGTGTAAATATGGGTGTTAGTGTGGGTGTGAGTATAGGTGTAAATGTGAGTGTTAGTGTGGGTGTAAGTATAGGTGTAAATGTATGTGCATGTATAAGTGTAAATGTAAGTGTAAATGCTGGTGTAAATGTTGGTGTATTAAGTGTAGGTATGAGGTCTTAATGTATGTTTAAGTTCAAGTGAAAATTTATGTTTAAGTACAGTTGAAAATGTATGTTTAAGTACAGGTGAAAATGTATGTTTAAGTACAGTTGAAAATGTATGTTTATGTACAGGTGAAAATGTATGTTTAAGTACAGGTGAAAATTTATGTTTAAGTACAGGTGAAAATGTATGTTTTAGTACAGTTGAAAATGTATGTTTAAATACAGGTGAAAATGAAGGTGTGAGAGTAGATGTTAGTGTGGGTGTAGGTATAGGTGTAAATGTATGCTTAAGTATTGGTGTATGTGTAAGTGTAAATATAATTGTATGTGTGAGTATAGGTGTTAGTGTGGGTAAGTATTTTATATTTTAGGATTTACCTTTATTTACCCCCCCCCC